CATTAACAGGGCACAATGGAAATCATTACAGATTGTTGTCGGTTATTTAACCCCAAGGCAAAGTCTCACTCTGTCCATCTGTATAGAAAGTAGTAAAACTGAGCCGCACCTTCACCAGCTGCAGCATTAAACTTATAAGCTCCTTGATGTATAATAACAATTATAATCATAATCAAATAGTACACAATATTCTGAAATGGCTGCAAGGTCACAGTCACCTCACAGCTAGAAGGTCGCCAGTTCACATCCCAGTTAGGACACCCAGGATCTTTCTGCGTGGAGTTTGCATGTTCTCCCCGTGCAGCGTGGGTTCTCTCCGGGTTCTCCAGCTTCCTCCCCAATCCAAAAACATGTTGAGGTTAATTGGTGATTCTAAATTGTCCGTAGGTGTGAATGTGAGTGTGCTTGGTTGTCTGTCTCTAAGTATAGCCCTGTGATAGACTGGCGACCTGTCCAGGTGTCCCCTGCCTTCACCCTGAGTCAGGGATAGACTCCAGCCTCCCACAACCCCAGTGAGGATTAAGCAGTTCATAGATAATGGATGGATGGATGTAAATTTGTCTGATTATGCTTGAACACAGCCATACAGAATGATTCATCGCTGCTAACCACGCACAACATATATGTAATCAATGCCAAACTTATTGTACAAACAGTCAGTTTCACACAGAGTTAGAGCTCTTTTTTGTGCACAGTTGGATAAATGAGTCTCCTGCATTTTAAATTACCATCACCTCAGTTAGAGTAAAGCAGTATTTTTGCACCACAATCTACTTTAACAATCAAAAGAATATGCAGACAGTGTTACTGGTGTGCTGCTGCATGAGCAGTATGAAATAGTGTAGTTCTAGCTAATGTCAGGGCTGCAAGGTGGAGCAGTGGCCAGCACTATCGCCTCACAGCTAGAAGGTCATCGGTTTGCGTCCCGGTGAAGACACCCGGGATCTTTCTGCGTGGAGTTTGCATGTTCTCCCCGTACAGCGTGGGTTCTCTCCGGGTTCTCCAGCTTCCTCCCACAGTCCAAAAACATGTTGAGGTGATTCTAAATTGTCAGTAGGTGTGAATGTGAGTGTGCTTGGTTGTCTGTCTCTAAGTGTAGCCCTGTGATAGACTGGTGACCTGTCCAGGGATGGATGGATGGATAACTAATGTCGACTATTTCACATTAATGTTTCCTAGTACTAATCTGAAAAGGAACTATTGTTGTTAATGTAGTTGACTATAAAGTACATTTCTCTCTGACATGTAGTGACATTGAAAATAGAAGAAAATGAAAATATTCCCCTTAAGTGCTGTAAAACTGTACTTTAGTAAAGTAATAAGTCAATGTTCTTACAGTTAGTTTCCACTACTGCTCCCAAATATGAATGGCTTCTACTGCATAGTTCATTTTCTGTTAACCAGGAGTTTATAAATGAATTCACATTTCTAACCTTTATTATAAT